GTCCATGACATCAACTGCGAGGGTTTTTGGTTCTAGCTTGGGTCTGCGCCCCAATACTCTCCCCAAATGAGGCGATTGGTTCTCTGCTTCAAGGAGACACCCTGCTGAGTTCCTAGAAAAGCTGTTATGCTTGGAGCAGAAGCTGAGCTAAGCTGAGTTGAGTTGAAGTTGAAGAAGCTCCCTTTTAACATTCGAACTAACTTTGGGACATAAGGCCCTTTTGCTCAGAAAACTTGATCTGCTTAACCCAGGACTTTTGGCAAGTACTTTATCTCTCTGAACTTCTTTCTGTTATCTCTTTGCTGTGTTATTGCTCTCTGTATATTTATACATATATATTGGCTACATCTTTTTCTGTAAATATTTTTATTTCACCCTTTTGACCTTTTAGTAATAAATCTTACTTTCTGAAAGTGTTGAACTGTTTCTAAAGCTCTTTAATGCAAACTAAGAACCCCTGTCTCTGAAGAGCGTTACTGTGTGTTTTTAAAACAACTGCATACATCTGTTGCGGTGACAGTGTATATACAGATGATTATTCAAACATCATAGTGTTATTGCTGATATTGCCGAGTTTCCTCTTTCTCTGTACAAAAAGGAGGTGGTGGCAGTGTGAAGGGTTAATTGCGTAATTAACCTGACCCAGTAACAATCGCTCTCAGGCTGCAGGCACACAGATTGTGGTCCATTAGCTGGAAAATCTTTGTGCAGGGTGCAGCTGGGCATGGTGTTGTTACACACATGACAGCGCGGTTTTAGATTGGCTAGTCCTTCGGTCACAAGTTTGGTGAGAAGGGCTGGGGTCTGACACCGTGATCGTCACAGTGGGCATTAGTGCTGTTGTACTAGTAGCTTCAGATAATAATGGTCTGTGTTGGAGAATGGTGACTGCTCATATGTGTGTAATAATCTGCTAAAACTAATAACTTTGAATCCAAAAATGGATGCTCCAATTTTATCCCAAATTTAAAGATGTTAAAAACAATTTATGTAAATAGGAATTTAAGCAGGACTGTATTGATGGTAAGAGAATTGTCATGAGGTATAGCAGCTGTTATTGCTGGTGGTGGCAATATCCCTTACAGGGTTAGTGCAAATACCCACTTACAGACTCTCTATCACCAGCCACCACTAGAGAGGGAGACTCACCAAAATGTGGCTGGTGGAGCGTTCACAGGCAGGTGCAAATCGTACATACAATCTGGTGCACACTAATGGCTTTGTAGAAGCTACCCTCTGAGCTAAAATCTTTATGCAGTCGCCTTTTCATCTGCCCCCACACAGACGGAGATTCCTGTTGCTTTTTAATTCATTGTTTATATATGAATTTTGTTTTTTGTTTTTCGTGTCCTTTTTTCTGTGAAGGTTTTGTTTTTGGTCATTTTACCAGTGTGTCCACTGTGTTGGCAGCTGGTCTCCATGTAGTGAAGATTTACGGTTCACAGGCTCTATACAACTATTTCCTGTGTCACATCCATGCAGAGGCAGTGGGCTTGGGTGTACACATGCCACAGCTGCAATGTTTTGCTTCACAAGATGGCTCTCCAGAGAGTGTAGCATGTGAGCAAGACACTGACTGGTGCAGTGGTGATTAGGGACACTGACTGGATGCTCTAATCTGGTGACATTGTATTGCTGAAGTGGTTATCAGAGTCAATAGCTGGCAGCACTAGTATACAGTGATGTCAGAGCAGCTGGCCATTGTACATGATTGCCACAGCAAAAATAAAAGGTTTATTTTTTTCTTACAATTTTTAACAACTTTTTTTCCACACACTCACCAAAGCACAGCAGTGTCAGCATTGTGACACTGTACTGCTGGGGCGGGGGGGGAGGTGGTTAGTGGTTATTTTTTTTTTTTTGTGATTGCTTATACAGATATGCTGGCTATGAGCAATCATTTTGAACACTGTTCGGCTGAATTCCTGTAGCCATTTAGTACTAATATGATAGTTTGATTGTCCACAGCTATCACATGGTACAGAGCTCCTGTGATTGGCCCTGTACCATGTGATCACTTTGACCAGTCACAGAGATTACAGTAGTAAACAATGGCATCATAAATGAGAGCTTTGCTTACTACAGCGATCACATCGTACCAGGGCGAGTCACAGCAGCCCTATACCCCAATCGTTCACGCCATAAGTCCTCCCAGAATGACTTTTGTCCAAGCAGTTATTATCCCAAGATAGACAATGCATAAAAAAGAAAAAGATAGTTACAGAATAAAAAAACCCGAAGAAACTACAAAAACTTGCATACATACATAAACAGTATTGACAATAAAAGGGATAATTGCTCCATGCCCCATATTTTCTTTCATAAGCATCGTTTATTCCTACTGTAATTTTTCCTTTACAATAAGCAACTGTTTGTTTGTTTGTTTTTGTCCATGTGAATTGTTAAACAGACCAAGTTTTTGACCCGTCCTAATTTACAGTACTCTGTTTTGTAACATTCTGTCACAGGGTTTCGTACCCACCTTTTCTTTGTAATGGTAAATAAAAATGATTGAACAAGAAAATAAAAGGGATAAAATTTACAGAAAAAAAAGTATTTCTCCTGCTACTAGGGTTGGATAGAAAATGCTGACCATATCCCCCACATAGATGGGAGCCCTCAAATATAAACATTTGTTTGTAGAACATTGTTATTCTCTAAAGAACATAGTGGAGTTTCTATCATCCCATTCTGTCCAATTGGAAAAAGGCTGGTTGCTGCATATTATCTAATTATCACAGTAAGATTTTGGTAATCACACTCTTCAAAAAATCATAATTGTGTCCAGTTATAAAGTATGGATCATAAACTTAGAGCAATGATTTAAAACTTTTTGCATCCTCAACTAGGAATAGGGAACGGTGGAAACAAATTCAGAAACTTACCCGAAAATTAGAAACACATTATAGAGCTCATATTGGCAATCTATCTCTTTTGAACAAAACAATGATATCGCAAAAGCGTTTAGAACTGAATACTTTATTATCCCAGAAAACTGAACAAGCCCTACGTTGGGGGAAAGCCTCTTTTATGTTATGTAGCAACTTGGCGTCTACTGTGTTTGCACGGAAATTAAACCATTCTATACGACCCCCACATATCTATAAATTACAAACTAAAACCAACAGCGACTCCTCTTTGCCTCATGAAGTCCTGGACATTTTTGAAAAATTTTGCTCTACCCTATCAGCTCCCCCACAATCACCTTCTGCTCCCCTAAATGGCTCCTGGTTTGATTCTATCCCCCTCCCTACTCTCACACCTTCTCAAGTGTCCTCCCTTAATGCCCCATGTACATTTGAGGAAATAACCCATGCGATTAGCGCACTAAACTTCCACAGCACCAGGCCCTGATGGGTTTACGACTAGCTATTATAAACATTTTGCTACTACACTGGCTCCTTTTTTGCGGTTGCTATTTAATCATGTTTTGCAGGGCGGCAGGTTCCCTGAGGAGATGCTGTTGGCTAATATGTCTCTTTTGCCTAAACCCTTAAAAGACCACCATCTCCCTCAAAACTATAGACCTATTTCAGTAATGAACAATAATCTGAAAATTTTCAGCCGTATTCTGGCAGATAGATTGGCCTCTATGATATCCACTTTGGTCTCACTGGACCAATCGGGATTTATCCCAGACAGATTTATCACAGACAACATTCACCTCACGCTAAATGTTATCCAGGATGCCAATTTGCACTCCAAAGAAGTTTTATTACTGAGCCAAGATCAACCAGGCCTTTGAATGAGTCCTCTGGCCCTCTCTGTTTTCTCTACTGCAGAAGATGGGCTGCAATCCTGAATTTCTGTCTGGTATACATTCCTTGTACGATTCCCCCAAAACAAGAATCAGTCTCCCAGGTTGTAATTCTGATTTTTTCACACTGGGCAGGTGTACCCATCAGGGCTGCCCACTTTCATCCCTATTATTTGCGCTTGTTTTGGAACCCTTGGCTATTGCAATAAGATCACATTCAGATATTTCTGGTTATCTATTACTGGTTTCGCATTTCAAATTATGTATGTATGCAGATGATGTTATGCTTTTCCTCACATTATTGAATGACTTTGCTACAGTATCAGGTCTTACAGTAAATTTTACCAAATTAGTAGTTATGCCTGTTAATGTTACTGACTCCCTGAGTGCATCTCTCCGAAATTCTTTTCCATTTCGTTGGGCCACTTACCGGATCTCATACTTAGGTATCTACCTCACTCCCAACTTTTCAAAACTATTTGCCCTTAATTACCCACCGTGTGCATCTCGCCTTGCTACTCTCTTGAAGGTCTGGCATGGATACCCCATGTCATTCTTGGGCAGAGTCACGGCAGTAAAAATTAACCATTTGCCTACCGGGCACTTATACCCACTTCTTTACCAGGCCAATTTTTAGCTTTCAGCGCTGTCGCAGTTTGAATGACAATTGCGCGGTCATGCAAGATTGTACCAATATAAAATTTGTATCATTTTTTTCTCACAAATAGAGCTTTCTTTTGGTGGTATTTAATTGCCGCTGGGCACTTTACTTTTTGCGCTATAAACAAAACAATTGCAAAAATTTTGAAAAAAATAAGTTTTTTTGTTACTATTATAAAGTTTTTCAAACAGGTAATTTTCTTCTTCACTGATGTGCGTTGATGAGGCAGCACTGATGGGCACTGATAGGCAGCACTGATGGGCACTGATAGGCAGCACTGAAGGGCACTGATAGGCGGCACTAATGAGGTTGCACGGATAGGCGGCACTGATAGGCAGCACTAATGAGGTGTCATGGATAGGTGGCACTGATAGGTGGCACTGATGATGGGTACTGATAGCACTGATAGGTGGCACTGACTGGCATCACTGCTGGGCACTGACTGGCGGCACTGCTAGGCATTGACTGGTGGCACTGACTGGCTTCACTGATGGCCACTGGTGGCTGGCACTGGTAGGCACAGGTGGGTGGCACTGGTGGGCACAGGTGGGTGGGCACAGGTGGTTGGCACTGCTGGGCACATGTAGGTGGCACTTCTGGGCACAGGTGTGTGGCACTGCTGGGCACAGGTGGGTGCACTGCTGGGCACAGGTGGGCGGCACTGGTGGGTGGCACTGCTGGGCACCAATCATCGTGGCACTGATCATCAGTGCCCTGATGATCGGTGCTGATCCCTGCTCTGACAACTGCCAGTTCTCGGCAGTACTTTCCTCGCGCTCTGACAGCAATTGCATTTCCCAGTGATCAGCGTGTCATTGGACACGGCTGATCACGTGATGTGGTAAAAGGCCGCTGTGATTGGCATTTTACCACATCACGTGATCAGCTGTGTCTGTAGGACACAGCGATCAAGGAGATCGCCGGATGCGCGCCCCTGGGTACAGATTAGACATTTTTTCCTCTCACATTTTGGTCTGATATGAGATATATCTCCACGATCTCACTTTTCCAACGTATTAGCCGTTACTCTCCCAGGGGTAGGGGTCTCATTTCAGATTTGTATCGCCAATTTCTGGTTGCTGCCTTCCCCCCTTTACAGACAGAAGTGGGAGGAGGCTGGTGGTGTCACCTTCTTTGATGAGGATTGGGAGTCCATGGTGGATAATATATGTAAGAGCTCTAGATCTCTTTCTGTCCAGGAAACTGCCCTCAAAATATTAACCAGATGGTATTATACCCCATCTAGATTACATATCATGTTTCCAAGGACGTCCCACCTTTGCTTCCAGGGCTGCGGCCTTACTGGTACCTTGGTGCATATATTTTGGGACTGCACAAGCCTCTCATTGGTATGGCGCAAGATCTCAGATGCGACCTCCGCTGTGGCAGAGGCCCTGGTACATCTGTCTATGCAGTCTTGGCTACTAGGAGCCCATATCCTGGACTGAAATTATGAGGCTAATCCATACCATCTGTATATCTGCCCTATGGGCTATAGCCCTACATTGGAAATCCCTCACTTTACCATTGGCCACAGTTTTGCATAGAATTGATGCAGTGATGCTCATGGAGAGAATTCATTACACCTTATTGGATAAGATGCACTTACTTGACAGAAAATGGAAAGTCTGGAGAACTCACAGGCATTTACTGTCTGACTAATGTCTACTCATATTTTGGTTGATTGGGTCATTTTCTTGATAGCTATATAGCTTTACATACCCCTCTAACTTTACTGCTCATATGCTTAATTTCTCTTCTCTTTCTTTCCTTTTTTACTTTACATGGTTGTACCATTTGAGATATTCATTACAGACGTGCCTTGTTCTTGTTGTATGCCTTACTTGATATTGTACTGCCATTTTGTAGTATATTTCTTGACAAAAAAAAACCAAACTAAAAAACGTTTGTAAACAAAAAAAACTTATGTCTAGCAGAATCAATATTTTTTTCTAATAAAGAACTTGTCAAAAACTTGTTTTTAGTTTTAGGTGACAGATTATTTTAGGGGTACTACATATCCCTTAATCGCCCACATGGAAAGGAGTATATGCCTTCTTTTTAGTAAAGGGGACTTCCAGATTATGATAAGCCCCTTGCCTGCAGATCCCCACAAGCACTAGCCAAAGTTGTACTTGTACTCATCAACATGGACAAACCCCAAGTTGAGAGGCTGTGGCCTGGTATGGTTGGGGGTGGGGGGAGGTGCAGTGACATGCTTAAATTAACAGTCTGGCTTGTATGGAGCTGGGAAAAAAAATGTCATTTGCTGCCAATTTTTAAACACTTTTCTTTGTAAATGTCAGTGCTGCTGCAGCTTTTTTTTTGTACATCACAGAGATGCGCCCCTTCACAGGCAAGATTAAGGCACCCCCACTTTTGTTATTTAAAGGAATTGGATATTTTTAATGTTTTACTTTAAGAATTTAACTCCTTGCCAAATTGAATTTTTTTTAAAAAAATTTCAGCATTGGTACATTTTCCACAGAACAGGTCCTATCCCATGCTACTTATTTGACACCCGCTTGCTTATTAGTGCAGAAAATGGGCATTTTTAATTTACCAGATTTGGCTCTCATTAATTTTAAAGGGGCATCCAAACTTAAAGTAGTTGTAAACCTCAGACATGAAATATGAACAAAACATATCCCTATAGTGTATAGTGTGTAATTCTCTCAAACCAGAGCACTAAGTGTCATTTCTCTCTGCTGCCTTGGTCCCCTGATATTACTTCTGACAGGTTTTCCTGACTCCAAGAGGTAAAAAAGTGATGGGGAGGGAGTGCCAGCACACAGCTTTGATTGACAGCCTCAGGCCTGTTCCTGTGTGCCGTCTGAAGGGGGGTTGTCCCTTCCCTCCAATCTGCCTGCACTGACCTCTGTGGAGTGTAACTTCAGCTCCCCGTCCCCTGCTTTCTGGAAGCTTAGACAAACTGTATACATTCTGCACTTTGAACGCCTGTAATAAGAAAGCGCTACAGATAAATATGTACAACTTATGTTGGAGGATTTGTTTAATCTCCGTGTATCACCTGGGTATATGTAAAGGTTTACAACCAGTTTAACTGGTTCCCAACCACGCTATAGCTGAAGGACGGCTACAGCGCGGTTGTGTAATCCTGGGACGACGTTCGAGGAAGTCATTCCAGGACATACCCCCTGCACGCCCCCAGTGGCGCGCACCCAGCAACCGCCGGTGATCGCTGTGTCCTATGGACCCAGCTGATCACATGGTACAGTAAACGGCCAATCACGGCGGCTTTTTACCACGTGATCAGCTGTGTCCAATGACACAGCAATCACCGGGTAAATACAGTTGCTGGCTATTGGTTGCACTTTCCCCACGCTGTCACAGCGTGAGGAAAGTACTGCCGAGAACTGGTGATTGTCAGCGAAGGGATCGACACTGATCATCAGTGCCCAGCAGTGCCGCCCAGCTGTGCCACCCATCTATGCCCAGCAGTGCTGCCCTCCTGTGCCCATCAGTGCCACCCACCTGTGCCCATCAGTGCCACCCACCTGTTACACTCAGCAGTGCCACCCACCTGTGCCCTGCAGTGCCACTCATCAGTGCTACCCAGCAGTGCCGCCCATCAATGCAGCATCATCAGTGCCAGCTCATCAGTGCCGCCTATCAGTGCCCATCAGTGCTGCCTAACAGTGCAGCCTCATCAACGCACATCAGTGAAGGAGAAAAATTACCTGTTTGCAAAATTTTATAATAGATACAAAAATGAAAACAATTTTTTCAAATGTTTTGCTGTTTTTGTTTATAGCGCAAAAAAATAAAACACCCCGCAGCAAGTGAATACCACCAAAAGAAAGCTCTATTTGTTTGAAAAAAATGAAAACAATTTCATATGGGTACAATGTTGCATGACTGCGCAATGGTCTTTCAAAGTGTAACAGCACTGAAAGCTGAAAAATGGCCTGGGCAGGAAGGGGGTATAAGTGCCTGATAGGAAAGTGGTTAAAGTTTAAAATTGGACAAACTCTGCCACAACCAACCCCAGGGCAGTTTGGCTTATCCCTAGTGTCCAGTGATTAACACACAGGCTCTAAACAACCTCTAGTGTAAAGGAATACAAATTAAACATTTGGCCTCCCTTTGACACTGTATTATTAAAATCATGGTAGACTTGTACTGTGGTTTTTAAAATATTTATGACAATATGATTCAGACCATCTCACTATTGTCTGGATCATGACACCTCCCTCTTTTAAAATGAAAAATTATCTCTTCTGCACTCATGTTCTATCTTGTTCTGCATGAGAATATACCTCCCCACATTTAAAAGTAAGAGTAATAGTGTCAGCTGTTGTTCCACTATGCATAGGAACTAAACACTAATTCTGTATGTTGAGCAGAATAGCCACCAATGTAAAAAGTCTTAAATGTCAATAATTTTTTACCATAATGCTTGCACAGTTGTAGTTTCACATCTTTTCTTGCGCACACAGGTTTTTGCAGAGAATTATATGATTGTGTACTGCATGGGATTTTAGTTTAAAATTTCAAAGATTGGAATACATAGTGTACATTTTCCTCAAATTCTAGGTGAGACCTTTACCCCCAGTCTGGGCTTATTTGGGATGCAGGTGCATCAGCTGGTGTCCTTTGAGGAACATACTGGATCTAAACAAACTCCACTGTGAGGGAATCCGGAATACAACATGTATTCTTCTTAAAACCATGTAGACCTGTACTGTTATTTTCAAAATAATGGGTCACTTCTCAAATGACCACCAATGTAAGAGTCCCTTCTTTACTGATTCTCAATGTAAAGGAAAACATTGCCAATGACCACCAATGTCAGAAAGGCTGCCAAAGTAGTCACCTTTGGAAAGGAAAACTATGCTAACCAACAAGGTAAGAAGAACCTTTTACAATGACTACCAACAGATAAGAGGTCACTACACTGAAGGCATAAAACAGGTATAGGTTTCAAACTAAAGAGGTATATTTATTCATTGTTGTATCTACAATTAAAGTATTATTAAACCTGCAACAATAAAATCAGTCTGTATATGCAGTAAAGCATGCTTGTTATGCTCACTGAGGGACCGAATGGGTTAATCCTCCGCATTGTGTAAAAAGAATGTTTGATCCTGTCCTCTCTGATCCTCCACTTCTACCACAGTCCACAATCCATCTGCTGATAAAAAAGAGCGTTGGGGTCAAGCTGCATGTGCTCAGTTTGGTGTGTATTGCTAGAGAGCTTTTTTTTTTCTTGGGAAAGTGTATGTGATCAGCACAGGGCTAATCAGCACTGTCCAGACAGAGGTTCAGGGGTCCTGCAGCCTCTTAGGACAATCAGGGAAGAATGAAAACTCCTCCTACAAACTTTAACCAGTGCTCTGCTGGACACTGATAGCAAGACTGCTCTAACTGCTGATGAGAAAAGGTATTTAGCAGTTTATATTTACTAAAATAATTGCACTTCTATGTTCTGTGTACTGTGGGAGACCGGATGTAGTGAATGCAGGGTCCTGGGTGTAGTAACACTTTAACTGGCCATGCTAATGTACTGTGAACTGTAGAATGAATATTTTTTTATACGGGGGTTCTCTGAGACCTGAACATAATTTCAAGGGTTCCTTCAGGTTATAAGGTTGGGAAAGGCTGATGTAGATTATGACGGCATTTTTCAAATTGCTTATCTGCTTCCTCAAAATGACAGCAGTAAAATGTGGTACTTTTTATTGCACTTGACAGCATGCATGGGAAATTGAGTGTCTAACTGACTAAAACACTAAAGTTTGCTGCATTAGCAGGGCTGTCAGGAAAAGAAGGTTTTGTCAGTGACACCAGAACATTGAAAATGCATACATACAGAATGATGCACTCAAAACTGGAAACCACATTATACAGTCAGAATCTGTATAAAAATACAGATTTTCAGTTTTTCTTCATACAACATGTATAGGTAACAGTAACTAACCAGACCTGTATATAAGTTTTTTTATTTGTCATTGTGCAAAATGTGTTAAAAACATATCAAGCATGAAAAAAACAATAGTTTGTCAGCATAATTTGCTTAGATTTGTAAAGCAAGTGAAATGTATAAAAACATTAAGCGACAATGAGTGCATGGCAGGTGCTCAACTGATTAAAATCCTGATAAATAATAGTATACGGTGTCCCTTATCTTAATATATATATATTTAAAGCCTAACGCATGTGACACTAAAATCCCCCCCCCAAAAAAAAACGTAATGATCATATAAGAAAATCTGCTGATGAATATATATGCTGATAAATCAATAATAAACAGTACTCTACATGATCAAAAATACGTCCCACAAAATAAGAAAAATGTCCTTCAAATCAAAGTCATTCATAAAGTTCAACAAAAATCTTCAAGTTGAAAACCAGCTTCCAAAGTGATTTCCGAGAACAAACCTCAAAAAGAAAATCTCACATAGTGTATTACCTTTGATAATAAATATATATATATATATTCACTGAAAACACATGTGAATTGCACACAAACACACGTGATCACTACTAAAAAAGTGAGCAACTGTGTAAAAACGTGTCCGTGAAAAATCTTGTGACAGAAAAGTGAAAATCCTGTGAAAAACGTGTCCACTTCTAAATGTGCAGATAAAATACCCTTACCAAAGCATCAAAAATCACAAGCCTGTAATCATCCGGGTAAGGTAATGGCATGTGATAAGCTCCACCAAAGGAATCTTCACAATTACAGACAGATACTCCTCTCGCCACACCAATCTCCAAGCGATGCCCACCATATATATAGATAAATTGTGCTGCTGCCCACACACATCGCTGCATCAACTCGCTCTAAACATCCGCGGCATATATACAGTATATCCGCTGCACTCTGCATAATCCCAGAGGGGATAAAATAAAATTCATAGGCATCCCCAAGTACTTAAGCGATGCCTGACATATTACATATACAGTATATATATATACTATATATATATATATATATATATATATAAACAGCCTTAAAGGATAAAGGTAAATAATACCTAAGTGATACCTCAGTTCCCCCTAGAGGGCAATAAAATATTACAATAAGAAAATATCATATAATCTAAACCATAAGCCCTAAATCCTTTATACTAAACCATACAATATAAACCTAATAAAACAATATATTTAATATGTAATAATACTGGAAAGATTAAAATAATTATAATAATAAACCCAAGTCAATCCCTCAATATGCATAAGATAAGCTCTAAAATAAATACTAAAAAAATTATATATAAAAAAATAAAAATATGTATATCCTACCTATCACTAAAATATAAAATAAATGCATAGCTAAATAAATACAATCTAAAATAAATAAACACAAATCCTCTCCTGAGTCAAAAAATATCTAAAAAATCTAAAAATACCCCTCAGAATATATAATTAAAAATTGGAAATAAAAGAATTCAAATCCAGGTCTACATTTAAGCCATGTGGTTTCAAGGTCTTAAGCTCAAATATCCAAAATGTTTCGTTTTGGGAGAGGGCTTTTAATTTATCTCCACCCCTCCAATGAGCTTCCATCCTATCAATCCCACAAAATTTCAACACACTGGGGTCACAACCATGATGATCCCTAAAGTGTCTTGAAAGACAATGATCCTTTTTTCTAGGACAGGATGTCCTGTCTTCAGAGCAATCATCTGACACCACAGCCAAAGCTTCGGCTGCAACCGTCTGCCCAATGGAGGGATCCACTTCTGGAGAGGCAGTGAGTGAGGTGCTGGTGTCTGACCCACCTGCACAGCAGAAGCCGGATTGGGGACCACAGGTGGAGGAGTGTGAGGAGGATGGCCTGATGGACTTCATTACAGAGATGGAGTCCCCACTGCAAGGCAGGCAGTTTACCTTCTCATCTGAGGATACAGAATCAGAAATGGAGGAAGATAAGTGCCTGAGACCGGTGATACCGAGGGGGAAGGAGAGAGCAGTATATGTGAGGCTGGAAAGGATTTCCAGAGCTCAAGAGAGAGCTGCCGGACTAAAAGAGGGGAGTGTGGAGGCGGAGTTGCAGAGAGCAGCCAAATGCAGGTCTGTAAGTGAAGCTATGGACATTGAGGGGAAAAGTGTGTCAGCTGCAGCCAATGTGAATGTCTGTGTGGCTGCTGGTGGTAAAGCTAATGCTGCAGGAAAACCTGTCAGTGATGTGTCCCCCCTGCCTGTGTCTAATGTGCACAGCGTGGAGAGCAGGGTGATCCCCGCCTTTGACCCAGCTTCAGTCCAGGCTTCCGCCCATGCACCAATCATGGCACCCGTTCAGGCTTTAACCCCTGCTGCTAGCTCCACCCCCTGCTGTCTCCGCCTGTCTATGTCTCCGTCCATGCTGCTAGCTCCGCCCCCATCTATGTCTCCGTCCCTGCTCCTGGCTCTGTTGCTGTGAAGGGCCCCGCCCCTGCCCCCCGTTCAGTGTCAGTAATGGCTCCCAGTGGTAAAGCTAATGCTGCAGGAAAGCCTGTCAGTGATGTGTCCCCCCTGCTTGTGTCTAATGTGCACAGCATGGAGAACAGGGTGATCCCTGCCTCTGACCCAGCTTCAGTCCAGGCTCCCGCCCATGCACCAATC